CTAACTAATCTATTCATATTTTAAAAGATGGTTAAAAAACAAGAGCATATTATTCCTATTGCAAATTGTATGATTGGAACGGATTTACTTTTAAAAATTTCAAAGACAATTAAATGATCTAGTATATATCGTTCAACGGAGCGTCAAATGTTGAATTGAAGTGTAAGAAATTGATAATTTTGCAATTGCTTGGTATAGTACTAATACAAAATACAAAAATGATCGTGCATTTTACCGTAACTGCAGATGACGCCAAAGTAAAAATAAATTCACCGCTTTTTCCTTGTACGTCTTAAGATGAATACAAACAATCAGTATGCGGCAATCAATATTCTTCGAATACAATTAATCAATAGCGAAGGCCCGTCGTGGGGAAGTTTGTAGCGTGGATCGCAGGGACGTAACCAGCCCCAAAATGAGTGGGAGGGGTAACCTAGCCGTCAGTGGCATGGTTCCCGGTAAAAGCTATTTTATGCAGTTTAGACAAAATTTCAAATTCGAAATAAGGACAGGAGTAGATTTCAAGTCAGTGCAATTTGATCAAGTCCGAGGCGAGGCCGAGCATTGAATCGCAATACGAGGACTTGAAAACTAGTCCAGTTAGAATTGGAGGATTTGAAATGAATGATATTTCATACGAAATATGAAAAGTGTGGTGAATTAATTTTGGTCCAGTCCAAGGACTAAATTATAAACGTCACAAGGTATCCAGTATTATCATGTGAGCAAAATAAAGCAACATAGTTCGCTAATTTACTCATGAATTAATAATTATTAATACATTTGGCACTGATTTCATGTCAGAAATGAAAACAAATTGAGAGGTTACGCCCTCCCCCCCCCCCTAGTTTCTACTCATTTTGAAAAACATTGCAACATATTGGTGATGAAGAAAAGTGGTGGCCCGGTACCACAACACCCCCCTCCCCTTAACATCTACGCTGCTAGTAGATCCGGAAAATTACCTGACCTCGATGGTTCTTAACCGTACAATGGTTCTTTTGCGGGGGGGGGTGGGGGGGTTGGCTGTAATGTATTTCTAGTATGAATTACATTCAACCTAAATTTTCTTTATCTCATTTGGGTTTTTTTACTCCTTTTTACTTTGGCTAGATGGAAATCCTTGGGCGGACTTTTGTTCTCGTCCTCTTGATGCACCTTGCTTTCTCGCTTGATGAATTATCGTCGAACAAATCAATTGTTCCCAATGTCTCACTTTCACATTATCCTGAGATTCATCACGCCAAAAGTTCAATCGACTCATTACTGGCGAAACTTCATACGGACATCACAAATTATCACAAAAAGTACGTCTCCTTGAAAAAAATGGCTGCCTTATATCGCACCGAAAGATTAATAAAGGTGAAGGAATTGAACGTCTTAAAAACAGTGGGACTTCTTCTCCCAAAGTTGACCGGCGGAGAAACAAGCAATTATATTTGCAGTGCAATATTGAACAAGTTTAAAGTAATTCGGCCAATTGAGATGCGTACTTCATCGTCAGTTTTACATGAAGGTTTTACAGTTAAATTACCAGGTAGGTGAAGCTAGTCAGCCTTAGTTCTTGTTTTATTTTATCGAACGGTATACTGTAGTATCAAACGCCCCTTGAAATATCGATAAAAGTGCGTGCATATGCAAGATATCTTTCTGGGCAATCAATTAGCAAGGGTCTCTAAGGGTTTCTAGCAAACGAAGCATATTGTGCAACATAGGGGAACGGGAACAAAGGAACATGTAAGCTCGAAAAACAAGAGAACATGGTGAAATTTTTGTCTGCAAAAAGTTGAAAGAAAAAATTTCCAAAGAAATATGGGATCACAAATTCCTCCACCCCCTCCCCTCTCCCTAAGAAACCGTCATTACCAAAAGTATATGGTCAAAACATCTCGAATAATTGCATGGTTTATATAACCCAATTTTTGGTTGATTTTAACAAAAAAATGAATATTAACATTAATCAAAAAAATGCAAAGCTATGACACATTTCAATCAATTCGATAGGTTATTTCAACCAATCTGTTTTGACGTTTAATTTGTTTTGTTTTATTTGTAAAGCACCGCGCATTATGAATACTTAAGCAATTTTATGCATGTATATATTTGCGAACGAATATTTCACAATATTCTGGTCTTTTTTTACTTTATATACGGAAAGAGAAGGAACTTTTTATGCAATTTGTTTCTTTTTGTTCAACTTCACGAGTTCCTCGCGCGTTTTTACAAGAAGATATTCATGTTTTCACAGGGAAATATATTCATTATTTCATTTCCAAACCGGTTTGCCAAAATGATTTCTTCCAAATAGCCATTAGCCAGATCGCGATTCTGAACCTAATCAAGTGTGGAAGTATAATATTCGCCATCAATTTGACCAGATAGAGGCTCTTCCGTCTTCGCGTTTATTTTGCCTCACTTTGTCTTACACCGTTCGACTAGGGCATAAAATGCTCAACTAGCTCAATATAAAATTTTCCTTTCATACAGTTAACCATCACAGCCTAATTACCGCTGGGTTGGCTTTGGTCAATGGAAACGATCTGAGAGTCTATTTTAATAAAGAGGACGACCACTTCCATGAAATCGATCGTGTTGTTGAAAAAAATGGGACTACTAAAGCTACGATATTGTTTAGGTTACAAAAAGCGATTAATAAAAATTCTGTGGAAAAAACATCCTATTACTTGGCGTATGGAAATCCGAACGCCCGTCCAGCCAGGCATAATCCTGAAAATGTTTATCTTTTCTATGATGATTTTTCTGATAAGAGTCTTAGCAAAAAGTGGAAAAAAAACTGGGGTTCGGTTAACGTGGTGAACGGACAACTGGTCTTAAAAACTGGTAAAACTCAGGGAGATAACGCTGAAGTGGCTATTTATGTAAAACAAGGAAATAACTGGCATGATGTCGAGGTAGAATTAGATTTCAAAGAAAGGCACAAAAGCGTGTACCCAGGCCCATTTTTAAGACTTGAAAATCCAGCAATAAAGACCACAAGTGGTTGGTGGTTTGAATATGAGTCTGGCGGTCAGGGTTGTACAATGAGACCATTTAATAAGAACAAAGATGGTAGTTGGCTGTACTCGGGAAAATTAAGTAAACCACTTGGAACGAATACATGGATTCACGCAAAGTACCGTGTTGTTGGTGACAAATTTTCGCACTGGGTAAATGGTATAACCATTCATAACAATGTTAAAGTGTCATCTTCGTGGATGTTAAAGAAAGGCACCCTTGGTTTAGGATGTCATGATAAAGGAAGTGGAAGTGGTTGTCTCACGATATATGATAACGTCAAAGTTATAAAATATGTTTCAGCAGCCCCTACGTTTTCTCTTGGTCGCGATTGCAAAGAGAACATAAAAGGAGTTCACGGCCTGGTAACGACCAATAAGAATGCTGCAGTTTCATGCAAGGCTCTTGTTGACCATGCTCATCACAGCTTACGGAATGGTCTCTACTGGATTAAGACCGGTGCTAATGGTCAGCCTGTTCAAACATACTGTGATATGAAAAATGGAGGATGGACTCTGATTGGAAAAATAAATGGAAAAGTTGGCAACATATTTCACACATGGTTGATCAAAAATCGTAACATTAAAAGCTTAACAAATCCAAGTCTTCCCTCAACTAATCTCATCAGTTGCATAGATGCACGACACCTTGCAACATTTAACGCGTCAACCATCAGGTTTTCAAGTGGTGATAATCCGAAAGGTATTGGTTCAAAATGGATCGAGTGGTCGTTGCCTGACAAAAGAGAAGCCACTTCATTGTGGACACACGCAGTTGGATATACGAAGGTTGCCAAAGCTCGGATAGATCCTGTTGTAATAACCGCTTGGAACGGAGAGAAAAAGGTGAGTTTCACTGATCTCAAAAGCAAAGTGGACAATTAAACCCCTTTGTGCGCAGCTGTGTAAAATGAAGCTAGTTAAACATTGTTGGGCAAAATAAATCCATACCATGCCCACGGATTCTTGAAACTTTCCACAACTTCACCAAAAACAATATATTACATTTTTTAATTGCATTTTAAAATAACATGTACAATTACATTTTGATGACTGGCCTACTTTCTAACAGTTACACTCTGACTGCATTTTTGCTACAAAATACCACGGTGAAAATACCTACTTGTCATTTTCACACAGTTCAAACATAAGTGGACAAGACCGTACAATATATTTGCATATTAGCACTTCTGATTTTTGCTCTAGAGCAAAAAGTATGACTAGTAACTATTTAAATGTAATATATATAATGCTGACAAACAACTATGCAAATTTTCAATCTTACTCTGAAGGAAAATTAGTTATTTTGTTAGAATGTCTACAAAGAGGTATATATAATATATTCAAGCGTGTATAGTGCCATTTTTGAAAAACAAAAACTATAAGCAACATATAAGAATCCTGTACAGGAGTTTATATATAATTTTAAAACTTCTACCAAATAAGACACCACATAATTTTTATTTCAATTAAATAGTTTTCTTCGAATATGACCCAGTCTACTTACCTACAATACATGAAGTTTTATGTTTTATTTGTAGGTGTGTTACCAGAATAAATACGGGATAATGCCACTCCAAAAACATGGTGGCTCGTACCCATCCGTTTCAATTGACAAAACTGGAGGCACAGCAACAAACGACTACTGTATGGCAGTTGGTGTTCAGAAGAAGGGAACATCTGCAGACAGTTGGGGTCAAAATGGCAATGGATTTGATTCACCTCTCAGCAATTCTGACTGGCCAGGAAAATCTGTGAATCATGAGTCTCCTTCCTTAACTGTCTGGTTAAAGTAAAACGAAGCTGCAGCCATATATAAGATTGATTTCTTTAACTTGTCAGAACAAATTAGTGTAGATTTGGGATGGTTAACTTATTTTGCGTAAAAA